TCTGGAACAAGAGCATCTGCAAGTTGTTGAAAAGAATGATACACGCCATGAACATGCACACAAGGAATTCCATCTGCAATCCATTGTCCACACGTGCAAATGTTATTAGCCAAATCCACCATATAATTGTACGTAGCACCTGGATCAGAACGAGAAGTATGGCTAACTATATACTGATAGTTACCATAATTTGTAGCTATCCACTTGTGCTTTGTCTTCTCACGGTGTCGAAGAATTGTTGTGATTTTAGGAGTTGTGTGGATGTTCTTCTGCATCCACTGAACAACAATCTTGTGCCTTTTTTCAAATGATTCAACCATTTTATTGTAGGACATCTTTAGTATCGCTGTAACTGGCATCATCCGACAACCTTTCAGCATATTATTAAAACTTTCCGAGCTATTGGTTGTAAGGATTCCACATCTATTTCCACCATCATAACAAAGAGTCCATGCCTCGCGCGGAATATCGTTCAAGTACTTATATGCAGCTTCATTTGCGTGCCTGATTTCTGCCATGTACTCATTAAACTGTTCGATGTTGGGTGTGCTCCCAGCGGCCCAAACTTTACGTTTAAGGTCACTGTCATGAAATTTATTCATGAAATTACTGCGGACATGCCTTAGACAATAACGCTTGGTTATGAACCCAGTTTGTAGCTCAGGAAGATCACGATATGCATTGATAATGCCAGCATGCCTATCAGAAATTACACAAACCCAATGTGAACGAATAACTCTTTGAACAAGAAGACGAAAAAACCATGCCCAACTGTCAGATGTTTCCCCGTCAACTACAGCATATGCAAGCGGGAAAAGTTCTTGATTTCCATTGAGTGCCACCGCCAAAAGTAGGTGACCCTTGTACTTTCCGTACAAATGGGTCCCGTCCACCGTCACCACAGGCAAGCAATACTGTAAACCATTAATAGCTGCTGGAAATGCCCAAAATGCATACTTAAAATGCGGTACTTCGTCCGGGATAACATTGAGGTTGGGAGGGGGTGAAGAGTAAACAACCTCAACAATTGTCCCTGGGTATGCATTTTGAAGGTTATATAAGATAACTGGGAGGTGCGTGTAAGAGTCCTCCCAACTGCCGTGTAACATCTCTGAAGCATGGATTCGACCCATCCAACATTTTTTATAAGAAAATGCAACGTTGAATTCTTGAAGTAATTCGTGTTGAATGAGTTTCACTTTGTACTCCGGGTCAACCCGTACTTTGTCAA